TTTCTTTCATATCTCCGGTGAACACAGTCTTATCTGGCCCAGTGAACTGGACATCACATATTGCTTTTCTCATACCTAGTTCTCTCAGTAATGCGTGCCCCTCCTTTGTAGTCCTCCAGCCCCTGCTAATCATGTTAGTATCCCGTGGTGACAACCATGTATCTTTAATGCCTTCAACCAGCCATCCCATTAAGGACTGCTCCCCCCTGCATTGGCCTAAGTTGAACAGCCTATATCGCAAGGATGGATGGGTGGTTACATAACTCAGCTGTGGAGCTTCTGAAGGACTTAGACTGATGTCATTTCTTCCCATGTCCCATACTCTCACAAGCCACGTGGCCAGGGGCTCTCTGCTTGCATGCTTGTAAGTTTTTCCTAGTTTTAACACTTCCAGCATGGAATATTTCCTAGCTATAGTACAGTTAGCTTATTTTTTCCTTTTTACTATTGTCTATCTTTTTCTCTGAGTCCTTGGACTTTACACAAGCCAAAGTGTCCTGCCTTTTTCTGTCTCCAGCTCGGTAACTGGGTCTGCCAGTCCAGCCTTTTCAGCTTCTCCTGCCTGGGGCACATCTTTTATGATGCAAAGTGGCCACTCTCTTTCTCCAGGTACTTCCTTTGAGTTTAGAGAAGGTAAAAGATTTTCTAACCTTTGCGTAACTTTTAACAAATCTTCACATACCAGCAACATATCCCCACATTTACAACATAGCTGTGGCCCCTGCTTCTGCATGGCTGGCCTCTTTTTAGTAGCCCATTGCAAACACCACATCAGCGCTGCCATTAGCGCTCTACTAAAACTCATCCTCAGTTTTGTCATATCCTGCCAACTACGCCAATTCTGTGGCCCGAAATCTCTCTGGGTCTCCTGCGTGATCAGACAAACCATATAATATATTTTATATGAGTTTATTAACTTACAAAGGAATGAGTACCCAGTGCCTAGCCCCGCGCCACCACCACTCAGAGCCTGCCTTATCAGACCTTGCCATGCCCATAGCCCTGCATTCGCCTACACCTCCGGGGCCAGTGATCTTGCCCCAGGTCCACAGGGAGTCAGTCTATTCTGCCTTTGAGTTGCTGCACTGGCTGCAAGTTTCCTACACCATCACGCTCTACTGGCGGTTCCTGGCTTCCTTCCCAAGATGGCTCCCAGCTTCCCTTCCTACTTCTGGCTCATGTCAGGCCCCGCCCACTGGAGGAACCAGCCAATCAGGAGACACAGGACCTCACTGATTTATGCTAGACTGGCTGACAGTGAACCCTAGGCCTCCCCAGGCTGGGGTTATGAGCGCATACCAACACACATGGCTTTTTCCTTGGTTGCTGGGGATGGAACTCAGGTCCCCATGTTCTCGGGTCAGGCAATGCACCTGCCAGGCCAGGCTTGTTTGTAAGTTGGCATAACCAACATGCTGTTCCATGTGCTGTTCTGTGTAGTGCCACAGCATGGCTCAGCAGTCAGAACCTAGCTGCAGCCAGCAATACAGTCAGAATGTTGTCATCACCCCAGAGCCCCACCCATCACCCTGCCCATCCCTTCCTCCTGGCCTGTCTCCCAGGATTTGTCCACTGTGGGCATTTTGGATACGGTGTTGTATCCAGAGCTTCAAAGCTGGTACCAAGGTGGAGACCTCCCGTCCCTATGTCCCCTGGGCCTTTAGATCCCCACCTGTGTGGGAGTTGCCCAGTGTTCAGCGCAGTAGGGCTGCATAGGTTTGTAGCTGAGGCATGTGAAACTAGCTGCACATGTCATGATGTCTGCTGTGATAGCTCTTGGAACACGTCCCTGTCACATTACACAGAGTGCTGTTTTGTGCCTGTCTTCTCCATTGTCCACTCCCACTGCAGTGTGGGACACTTGCAATATAGTTTGACTTGTGGTTTCACCGTGTAGCCTGGGCTGGCCTCGCTCTGTAGCCAGGGCTGGCCTAGAAACCCCAATCGTCCTTCCTGCCTCAGGTTCCTGAGCATTGGGCCAGGCCTGCCCCCGTCTCCCTCCACCCTGTACTGGTTTGAATCTGTCCTGGCCCTTCCAGCTGTTGAATTGGTTGCTGTGCATTGTCTTGAGTCCCTTAAGACAGTGGAGCTTGGGCTGATTTCTGGGGTTCCCACCCCCTCTGGTCATCAGTGTTTCCTATTCCCAAGTCAGGACGTTCCCTGATATTGCTGGCAGTGCAGGTGTCCCTTGGGATGCTGTTGTGTGGTCACCTTCGTGCTGCCCTTTACTGTCCACTTTGCCCCCTTACCTGGTTCATCACCTTGATTTTTGCTGAGCTGTTGTACATCATGAAGTGTCATGTTCCTCAAGGCTTCTGCGTCTGTGACCTGCTTAGCGAGGTGACGTGGTGCACAGCCTACGTCCTCCTCCTGGCTTCTCTTTTCTACACGTGGTCTCCACCTTGTTTGTCGTGGTCTTACTGAACGGAAGCTCCATTTGTACCACCAGCATATCTCTGCCCCTCATGCTGGTCCAGCAGGCCAGGGATTTGAACTTGGGTCCTCTGGCTTGCAGCTCTCTGCTCTGAGTATCTCCCCGGGCCTGTTATTTTATACAAATTCAGAGCGAGCCAATATTGCCAGGATCATGTGGGCGGCTCCCAAGTGTCTTGGCCCCTTCAGGCTCTGGTCCCTGCCTCAACCCTCTTAGGTAGCTGTGGTGGTGCTGGGCCCTCAGGCTGGGATGTCCCTATTCAGAGCAGCCTTCCTGATTGTGGCAGAGAAGGGAGCCCGGGTCCCGGTGGCCTCAGTAGCTGCACTTCTGTGCTGGGAGCAGTTGCTCAGCTTGGGTCCCAGATGAGGCGGGAGAATCAGACTGTGTTCCTGGAGTGTGGGTGGGAACCCCCATCTGACATGTCCTAACTGGGGCATTACTAGTGTCACTGCTTGCTAAAGTAGCTACAGTGTCCAGAGGGGGCTTACACCCCCTCATGCCTCTTAGTACTTCTTATCTGGGCTCACACTGCTCAGAGGAGCACCACTTAGAGAGCTGGACCAGGTAGCTGTCTGCCATGGAGCTGTTGGCGGCCCTTAGACACTCTTAAGGATTGGGAGATTAGTGTGCACACAGACGCATAACAATACCTAGTTGCTGCACCAACTATGACATAAATGTCAGTATAGCTACATGCAGCTGGTCCTGCATCGATACACTTACCTGTCTATTCATCCACCTTTTTGTTCATCTGCCTCCCATAACCTCTCCACCCATCTAACCAATATATCCATCCACCCATCCACCTACCCACCCATCCATCCACCCCTCAATCTACCCATCCACCCACTCCATCCATCCACTCACCCATCCACCCCTCCATCCATCCACTCACCCATCCACCCCTCCATCCATCCACTCACCCATCCACCCCTCCATCCATCCACTCACCCATCCACCCCTCCATCCATCCACCCTGAAGGGAAGAACTGAGTTCCACAGGGCAAGGCAGGGGATGTGCTTGCCTTCGTTGGGTGACTCTGGGCAGTGATCACCAGTGTTGGTCCCTAGCCTCTTAGACTCTTAGCTCATGGAGGTGGCCTGAGGGCTGTATGAGAGTCTCACACATGACACAGGGACACAGGATCCCACTGAGACCCTGGCTAAGCCTAGAGCCAGAAGCCCCTTACTGGGTCAGAGAGCACTCACATGCTTGAGCTCTCTGTCCTGTGGCTGCGCCTACAAGTGCCCATGACTGATGACCCTTAACCATAGTATGATTTTAATGGGCCTGAGATGGCAGTCTGACATGCCATGGCATCACTGGCCTCCACTCCAGACAGGGCAGGTCTCTCCTGGAGGTTCCAGGGAGCTCTGTGTTCACTGTCCCAGCATCCAGAGGCCCTGCATCCCTTGGCTCATGGCCCCTTCCTCCTTTTCTGCCTTTCACCCTTCTGCTTCTGGCTTAGGACCCCGTGGTGACACTGGCCTGGGTGATCCAGGATGTCCCCAGCTCAGGGTGCTCAGCGTGAGCCAATCTCAAGGGACCCGTGTGTAGTTCAGGTGCTATGCCATGGGTTATGGGAATCAGGATGTGCATATGTGCGCTGTCACCTCCTGTCCCAGCTGTATTAGGGATGGATCCAGTCTTGCCTCTGTGGGACTAGGGAGTGGCAGGCTTTGCATAACTGAGGTGAGGAGTAGCTGGGGAGAGAAAGGGTGCAGCTCCCACCCCAAATCCTTGTGGGGTGGTCCTGAAACCCAGACTGTCTCAGAGTACACTAGGTTCAAATGGGCTGCTAGGGACTTTGTGTGCTGGGAGGGTGACTGAGACCCACATTATTTAAACCCAGAGGATCCTGGAGGTGACCAAGGACTTGAAGCTGGGGCCCCAGGGTCCAGGTTCCCTGACAGGAGCCTGTGCACACCTGGGTCCCAGGGCCTTCGTCAGGAAGGGCTAGGCATCTGGGCAGTGGCCAAGGCAGGCAGGGGGCTGTAATGCAAGTGAGGAGGCACAGGCTGGCTGTCACAGGCCTGCTTACGAGATCCTGGAGCCACAGGAAAGCTTAGCATTCTGTCCTGCCTCATGTCCCCAGGCTGTCAGCATTTGAGTCCATGTCTCCATGCCATAGCGTCACTCCCATCCTGTGCGCTCTGTGCATCGGGGAGTGGATGGAGTGGCCTGCTGGTTGGCCATAGGTCTTTGCACCTTTGAGAGACCAGCCAGCTTTGGAAGATGCCAAACCTTGTTTGTTTTTTGAGGCCAAGTCTCATGTAGCCCAGGCTGGCTTCTAACTCACTATATAGCCAAGTCTGGCCTCAAATTCCTAATCCTCCCACCTCTACCTCTTGAAAGCTGGGATGATAGGCGATTACCACCACACCTGGCTGTACTGGTTGGAAGTCTTGCTAGCTGTCTGCTTCTGGCTTCCAGACACTTGTCTGCCATCACGTGACTGATCCTGGTATATATGCTCCTGAGAAGCATAGGGGTGGACAGCTGAGTGGGGCAGCCGTGAGGGCCTGGAGCCTACAGCACAGGGACAGCTTTCATCTGCACCTGCAGGGGTCACTGTTGCTGGAAGAGGTGAAGGAAAGAAGCCTTGTGCGTCCTCAGCTACCTGGAACCTTCTGGAACCTCCTGGGACCTCCTGGGACCTCCCAGGTAAGGAAAGCACTGGGCCCCTCCTGGCCACACAGGCCAAGGCACTGGGCTTCCTGGGTGGCTGGTCTGGATCTGTCCTGGGGTCCACTGAGGTCTGCCTAGGCCTGCCTTCCTTCCTGCCACAGCCAGAAGTGGGGACCAGGCACTGGCTGGGGTCTCTAACCACAGAGGTAACTTTGTTTTAAAATTTATTTTTACTTTTTAAAATATTTATTTATTAGCCAGGTGTGGTGGCACATGTCTTTAATCCCAGCACTCGGGAGGCAGAAGCAGGTGGATCTCTGTGAGTTCAAGGCCAGCCTGGTCTACATAGTGAGTTCCTCTGCCTCCTGAGTGCTGGGATTAAAGGCGTGTGCCACCATGCCTGGCTCTGTTTTTTTTTTTTTTAATTTTATTTTATGTGTACGCATGTATTGCCTGCATGTAGGTAAGTGCACCTGTGTCGTGCAATGGCCACGGAGGTCAGAAGAGGCTGTGGGATTCCCCTGGGACTGGAGTTACGGACAGTTGTTAGCTGCCATGTGGGTGCTGGGATTCGAACCCGGGTCATCTGCAAGAACAACCAGTGTTCTTAACTGCTGAGCCATCTCTCCAGCCCCCCGGCTCTTACTTCTTTTTGAGACAGGGTCTCTGTAGCCCCAGCTGGCCAGGAACTCGCTATGTAGACCAGGCTGGCCTTGCTCTCACAGGGATCCTCTGCCTCTGCCTCCCTTTGCTGAGATGACAGGTGTGTGCCACTGTGCCCAACAGCTTTTGAATTGCCTTAAAAATAGTGGACACTGCTGGGCGTGGTGGTGCACGCCTTTAATCCCAGCACTCAGGAGGCAGATGCAGGAGGATTTCTTGAGTTCAAGGCCAGCCCAGTCCATATAGTGAGTTCCAGGACAGCTGGGGCTACAGGGAAACGCTGTCTCAAAAAGACCAAAAACAAAGAAGAGTGACATGCAGAAGGAGGTTAAGGGGTAGATTTTCCTGGGGCTGCAGTGAAACTAGGGCCTTGTCCCTGCTGGGTGAGTGCTCGGTACTGAGTGACCCTGTGCCAAGTTCATGTTAATGATGCTGTGTCTCAGACATCTGCTGTCGTGTAGAGGAGGCTCTGTACACTGTCCCCTAGCCTCTGAGCATGACTGGTCTCTGAAGATGCCCTCTTGCAGCCTAGCCAGGGACTTCTGTCCTAAGGGGTATCAGGGCCATGCTGGACCTGTCCTAAGGAGTGTCAAGGCTGTGTTGGACCTGTCCTAGGTATGGTGATTCTCAGTGGCCAGGTCCTCAGGACGGACAAGGGGCTGAGCTTGGCGGGCCCCACATGCTGCCTGGTCTATAAGGGGAGGTTTTTGGTGAGCAGTCAGTCATTTGCTTAGTGATCCACTTCCCTTCCCGCTCCCCCAGGAGTGTGCAGCTCACAGAGTGGTGCCGCTGTCACCATTGGGTACTTCCAGAATATTCCATCATCCCCAAAGGAAGCCTTATGCCCATGAGCAGTCACTGTGTCCACTTCCCAGCACCCATGAGCCCACTTCCTGTCTGTGGATTCACCTGTTCAGACATTTCCTGTCATGGAGTCCCACACTATGAGGCTTGCTGTGTCTGCATCTCATTGAGCATTGTGTCCTTGAGGTCCCTCCACACTGTGGTGCATGTCAGGTACATCCCTGTTCAGGGCTGTGTGGTATTCTAGTGTGTGGAGGGACCACACTGTCTATCATCCTTCTGTGGACACTGGGCTATTTTGACTGTTGTGCACCTCATGTTCTGGCTCTGTGGACATGCGTGGGGTTCTCCGGCAGGTGGCAGCAGTGGCTTTGGGTCTTTTGAGGTGCCTTCCAGCAGCCACCCTGCTTCCTATTCCTGGCGGCCAGGGTGGCCATTGGCTTTGAGGCGACTCCTTGGAGCCATGACCTTGCCCCTTTTTCGGGCAGTGGCCACTCGGAGCAGCATGTTTCTAGAGGCACTTTGGACCTTCTGTGGCTGTGGAGCCATGGTCTGAGCTCCCATCCCTCTTGATCTGGGCTCTGGTGATGCCCCAGCTGGCCTTGAAGGATGCTTGGTGTAGGCCTGCCCGACCTGGTGCTGCCCATGCTACTGGTCACTGACCTTGGGACTCTGGCTTGTAGCTCCTGATCCTGTGCCCCGTGCCCAGCCAATCTCAGGAAATGAATACCAAGGTCCGAGCTGCCTGCCAGAGCCCACCTGTGGGGTGATGTGTGCAGGCAGCTGGGCCAGGGACCGCTCAGTCTCAGCCCTATGGGCTGTCCTGTGCCTTCATCCTGTGACCAGTGACCTGTAATTGTCAGTCCTAATCTCAATTTCTAGAAAGCGCTGTGTGCAAGAGCTGGGGCTCGCAATTCATCTGGCCCCAGGGGTAGCGGACAGCCGAAGGCCCTGGTGAGAGGGTGGGGACATTCCATAAAGATGGCAAGTCACCACCAGAGCCACATTCCCACATCCCTACTGCCATCCACATCCGCACTCTGCAGCTGGAAGTCACTTCACCTCACATGGCAGAGGACCCAAGATGGGCCCTACCCCCCACCCCCCAGGTAGTGTCACCACAGGGTTCTCAGAGGGAGGCAGAGAGTGAGAGGCAGGAAGGTGCTGTCTCTGGAAAGGAGGAAGGGGCCATGAGGCAAGGGTTGTGGGGCCTCCAGACCCTAGAAGATGGCAGGGAGGCCTCTGAGGGGACCATAGCCCAGGAGATGCCCTGGGATAGGGGCTTCAGGCCTCCACATGATTTATAGCACAGGTGCCCAAGGCCTTGATTCCTTCCTGCCTTTTGGGCCTCCTGTCCCTGAGGTCACTGTGGGTCTTCAGGCTGCCCACTGTCTCTTGGGGCCCCGATGAACTCCACTCAGTAGCTCTTTCCTGGGTCACCCAGCCTCTGCCTCTGCTCCCTGTGACCTTGCCATCCTGCAGAGGTTGCCAGACTGAACATGGTATCCCAGGCATCTCCCTCTGTGCCCACGCTCTGTGCTCCCACTGCCTGACCCACCCGGCCCAGGTGGCATGTGGCATGCTTCGTGCTCTCAGTGGAGCAGGGGAAGCAGAGTATGTTCCAGAGACAAACTGTTCTTATCCTCCACCTGCTTCTAGTCATGGAACCCACTTACTTCCTCCTGTTGTTTTCTGGAGACGCTGGGGCACCCTAATGGGCCATGTGACAAGGGGACCCTGGCGAGCACCCTGTGTTGTGTCTCCTCTGTTCCATTCCCTGTGCAAACTGAGCTATGGTGGCCCAGGCCATGGCCAGCTGGGACTCAGGAGGGAGTTCCGAGTGTTACCCGATGGCAGGGACAGGGACCCTTCCGCACAAGAAGGCTTGGGAGACCTCTGCCTGCAGTACCATTGTCAGGACACACCAGTCTCCCCTTGTCCTGTTTTCTGAGGACATTGTTCATGGTGGGGAGCCTGTGTGTGTCCCACTAAGGATGGGGGGACACTAAGGACTGAGAGGACACTACTGATGGAGGGACATTAAGAATTGAGGGGACACTAAGGACAGAGGGATGCTAAGGACTGAGAGGAACACTAAGGATGGGTAGCTAAGGATGGGGATGCTAAGGTTGGGGACACTAAGGATGGGGAGCGCTAAGGATGGGGACGCTAAGGTTGGGGACACTAAGGATGGGGAGCGCTAAGGATGGGGACGCTAAGGTTGGGGACACTAAGGATGGGGAGCGCTAAGGATGGGGAGCACTGAGGATGGGGAGCACTAAGGATGGGGAGCATTAAGGATGGGGAGCTAAGGATGGTGAGCACTAAGGTGGGGAGCACTGAGGATGGGGGGCACTAAGGATGGGGGGCACTAAGGATGGGGAGCACTAAGGATGGGGAGCACTAAGGATGGGGAGCACTAAGGATGGGGAGCTAAGGACTGAGGGGACACTGAGGACTGGGGGACACTGAGGACTGGGGACACTGAGGACTGGGGGACACTGAGGACTGGGGGGTCACAGAGGACTAGGGTGACACTGAGGACTGGGGGGACACTAAAAACGGGCCTAGGGGAGACACTTAATTTAGAGCCCACTGATACTGGGTAGAGCCCGTGTTTCCCTGTGACAGCCAGCAGGTGGCAGCAGGTCCCCTGCTGGAGTCTTATGGGAGCTTTCAGTTGGGGTAGTGGACACATAGCCCAGTCCTCGGGTCAGGCAGGCCCAGAAGTCCCAGGATGCAGGCTCATCACAGGTGGGGACATGTTCTATCCCAGGGACTGGTCTCAAGGACACCTCCAGTGGCTGCTGTGACTAGTGGCAGCAGACCTGGTGGCCTTGGGGTCACAGGGGATTCTGGAAGGGGCATCAGATGCACAGTGCATCCATGGGGTGGGAACCTGTGTGTCCTTGGCAGCAGCTGGCTCATTCTGGGGGACCCTTGGAGACTTATCTGGCCACTTGTCCAGCTTCAGGTGGCCCTTGGCTCATAGCCCTATTGGTAACCCTGTGAAAACCCTGTACCCAGGTACCCAAATTGGTCTCCACCTTGATCCTCCATCTACAATGTCCTCCTGTTCAATGTGGGCCACCCACAGCTGCAGTTTTAGGGTCCTGAGGAGTGGGTCCCCCACAGCCTCTCCCCATCTACTGCACTCTTGGGAAGGGCCCATTGTCCTACCCCAGGCCCCACTTGTGGCAGCCTGCAGGGTCACCATGTCCCTCACCACAGCCTGACTGTCTGGCCCCACCTTTGCCCTCCAAGACTGGCATCTGTGGGACCCAAATCCAGCAAAGCCACAGGCCCTTGACCTTGGGTGAGCACGGCTATGAGGATGGGTGGTGGCATGGAGCAGTGGCCATGTCCTGGAGGTCCTGGCCTGGAATGTTTTGTCCTTCCCACCTGGGGACTTGCACTTATACCCTCACTACCCCCTCCCCCATAACAACTGGTCATCTCCCCGCTTCTGACTATGGAGCCCCCAGCGTCCTTGGCCTATGTACCACACAAGCCACTCAAGTGATGTGCACCTCGGCCCCCAACCCTGCCCTACCTGGTGCCTGTGCAGA